AGGCATCGCTGCTTCCTTCAGTCAGGGGCGGGGTGATCGGACCATGGTGTGAAAATATCAGGCACTTGGTTCGCGCCACCCAAGGAAAATCCATCGGTATCCATTGACATATGGTCATATGAGCGAGCATCGCCAAACATTTCAGATCTTGCAATATCCTGGGATTCAAGTCGCATTTGCTTTGTGTCCTCTAGGTCGCAGCCATGGGAGTCATTTGGCTGAGAGCTGGCATTATCAAAAGTAAAACAAAAGACGGAAGATAAACTGGGCTGGTATCCTTGGGAACTGCTGAATGCCAGGTGAGGACTGTTTCCTGAATCTGTCGCATCAGACAAATCATGGACATCAGACAATGAGGAATAGCTCGTAGGATGGTCCAAAGAACTGAAATTCCCTGATATTACAGGATGAGAATAAGAAGTAAATGTAAACTCCTGGGAATTGGTTATCTCTGGTTCCGTTACTGGCATCGAGCCTGTTTCAAACGATTCATCTGTAGCATCGCTTGTAGTACTGGAATTTGAGCTCAGGTATGGCCATTGGCAGTTATCTGGTAGACTGCTAGAACCGCATAAAGGAGAGAAAGAAAATGCATCCTGCGAATGGAATTCCTCAGCATGGGCCATGGCAGAAGATGGTTGAGAGCAATCCTGTCCAGTGGAAAGTTTGGGTACATATGGCGCCTTTATTTTATAAGATCTTTTTGTTATCGAAACCCTTGGAGGGCTGGTAATTGTTTTGGTGGACATGGCTGTACCCTCCCAAAGAACTAATACACATAGGAGTTAGTATTACGTCAATTTGAAGCACAACAGCCTATAACTCCATATAGAACTCGTAAAGAAACATCAAAGCGTGAAAGAAAGAGCGATGATCCTGGATCCAAGAACTTTGAGGGAAAAGCCTATGACGGCGTTAGCTTGCGGGCCATGATAATTTTGAGTTATGAACACCCACCAGACATCTGCTGCAATCATTCGTTGCCAGGTCCATGGGCGTGATCCAGGTGATAAAAGTCGAAGTGTAGTCCATTTCGGGTCGACGCACGAGCATTTCTATTGAACGATCCGTTGGTCGCGACTAGGTCAATCCGGAATGGAAATATGCCATCTGAAGGAAGGGAAAAGAAAAGAAAAAAAAAAGATCATTATATATATCCTCGGGAATACCAGGCAGGAGGAGCATAATGGACAATGTTCTAGGACTGGTTCCGAAGTTGATCGTAGCATTCTCACTGCAAGTAATATCCGGCATCCATGGCTTGACAATTCTGATAAGGCAATTATGGGTAACAGCTGTGGTACATTATCTGCTCTTCATCTAGGCGCAAGCGTAACCGCGAGCAACGGTGAGCTGCGGCTTGCTTACTCCCTTTATTATGTGAAATCCCAGGAATGATACGGCCTATATCGCATTGAAGGACCCCATTATCTCTATAGATCTGTGGACTCTCAGGACTGCTTCTGATTTTGTTTACCGGGTTGGATAATCCCTTGATGCCCCATTTTAACGCGCTTTGCCCCAAAATTTTTGCTGCCCTGCTGGTCAACCACACCCCGGTACAACCTCTGCATAGTGCTTTTTTTTGTCATTTTCTTTCTCCTGCTGTTGGATCACCATTGTTCGAAATCAAAAAAAACATATCTGGTTACGATCGCTGGAATAACATCCACCTTTATGCACCGAAAGGTGTGAGCCGACATGCACCCCTCCGCGATGGCTATCGCCGGGGTACATGAAGGTCTGGGCCCTCAGAATAGGCACCCAATGATGTTTCCAGTGAAATCTCCGAGAAATGGCATCAAGGCTGCTGAAGGTAAATCCTAAGGCTTCTCCTAGTCCGTATGGCTATGGCGCTCAAGACGTAATGACAAAAAAAAAAAAAAAAAAACATGATTTTGGAAGGTACATGACCAGAGGAATCAAGGAAAAAGGAGGGGAAAGGAAATATAAAGGGGACTACCTGATGAGTTCCAAGTGAGGTTTGCTGATGTTGCTGTTCTGGAGTGAATTGAATAACTGTATCCTCGACGGGTCGACAAGCTAGATCAATTTTTTAACAGAAATAAAAAAAAAGTCCTTGTCCTAGATGTGGATTTAATTCCCGGGAATGTAGCCAGATATGTTTTTTTTTTTTTCGAACAATGGTTATCCAAGTTGCAGGAGAAAGAAAATGACAAAAAAAAGCACTATCTTGAGTTTGTACCGGGGTGTTGTTGACCAGCAGGGTAGCAATGATTCTGGGGCAAAGCGCGTTAAAATGGGGCATCAAGGGATCGGCCAGTCCAGTAGACAAGATCAGAAGCAGACTGAGAGCAAACAGATCAATAGAGATAAAGGGGGTTTGAATAGCACGAGAGTAGTGATACCAGTTGTGAGTTCAGGAAAATAATAACAGAAGCAAGCCAGAAAACCCAAGAGAATGGGATTTGCCCTGGCTTTAACACGTTTGCTGCGTGGTTTGGCCAGCTCAGCAGCCGCAGCATCCTGGCGGCCTGTGTGGGAGCAGTAGCAAAACCGACGCGGGGCAACTCGCCGCCAGCACAGCACCATGCATGATATCTCACCAAGTGTGCCCCGTGGCGGAGGGTGGTATAGGCACGACTGGCTGTCGTTTGCTGCACAGTTTCGCAGCGGCTGCACAGGCAGCGGTTCCGGTGCAGGACGATGGCAGGCATAGGCTGTGGTCATCCCACTCCAACTGACGTGGCATTCGATGCGCCGCCCCGACTGTTGTTTCCGTCACCAATCTCACCACCGGTCACCGCCAGCGGGGTGGGGTCGTATCTTGGAAGAAGCCTGGCGGTGTGCGAGACGTCATTTCGCATCCATTCGATTCGACCTGAGATGTCTTGCCCGTGAATTCGCGCTGCAGCTTGCATCTACAAATCACACATCACTGCGCTGGGATTCTTGGGCTCTTGAGATATAAGGATTTTCCGCAATCATCAGCAGTTTTGACAAGCCAAGCTGCTTTTGTTTGGCCTTTCTTTCCTTTTCTTTTCTTTCCTGACTGGGGGAAACAACCAAGGTTTGCGGGACCGGATCCGAATTCAGTGATACAATGAAGGCTGTGTGTACTCCGTATGTTTTATTGAGTCCAAAAATACACGGATAATTGCTTTGTCTCTTTGTCCATTTAACATGGATCGTTTTCTACGTTTGCAAAGTAAAATTTATTTATTTGGTTTTCATGTTTTGCACCAAGAAGTTACCCGTGAGTTATCACTGGCCGACCCATGTCACGCCTCTCTGGTCGTCCTCGCAAACCTCGGAAATGTTGGGCAGCAATGCAGTAGCGCAATCCATTGAGAGTCATAATCCCGCCTAGTCAAGTGAGCCTGTGTTCCAACAACAGAGTTAGCAACGATCGCGAATTTGGTTGTCGCTGGGAGAAATGGTCAATGATCGAGGGGCTCAGGAAAAATGAAAGATGGAAATGTTTTGTCGTTCAGGATCCGGAGATCTTCAGTTGAACTATGCTTATAAATTTTGGATCATCACGAAAACGGAGGGAAAAAAATGCAGGAATTGCAAACAAATTTTTGCTCATACATACTAGAATCGCAAACATCCTCCGCTTTCGGATACAGACATGAATATGGCCAGCATTTTAGCGCCGGCCTAAGCCGGATGCAACTTTGAGGACGTTGACATATTTCTTCCTGACAGTGCTTATCTTTGTTGGATTGAAACTGAAGAAAAGCGAAAAGTTAACCAACTCTGGATAGCTAAGCGAGTACCACCAACCACTTCACGGATTATATTAAATCCGAGAGAACAAGGCGAAGGAAACAATCATCATTTTTGATGAAAACCCACGCCGTCCTTCATTCTCACTCTCATTCCCAACTGAACTCAGCTTTGATTTTTTTTACAAAAAGTGCTTCTGGATCTCCGGCGAATTGCTTCTCCTTACTGACCTCATGTTTCTTCGAGCATTCAAGAATTGTATCAGAACCTCCGCACTGCTGCTTTGCACAAAAATCTGGCTCCCCCTCAAAGAATGCCCCATTCCAAGTGATGACTGCGGTATCAGCGTGGCACATGAAAGCCAACCGAACCATGTCGATGCGGTGGCCTTTATAAATATATGAAATACTGTTAGCCATACATATGCGATTTCATGGTGCGTAGAGACTTACTGACATGATCCGGAACGGAGGCTGAGGAATCAAGTTCATCCATTCGATGATAGCGGTTGTGGACATATTGGCGGATCATATCCTGAGTCAGGCGATAATACTCCTTCTGATTCTCGCTTCGTCTAGGGAAAACTTACTACACAGTGTAACTGATGAAACACCGTTAGGGATGCGAAATAATGTCTTCATGACGTAGATATTACAACACTCGTCTTAATCTGCTTTTTGAGATTTTTTCTGGTTACTGCTAATGGATTGACTTAACACCACTTCATTAGCCTCGTTATGTTGTAAGTTTTACAAAGGGGCTGGATGTACTTTACATACCATCATACAGCCCATTCCATATCCCATTGAACCCATTTCCTTTTCCTGGTAATATTTTATACCGGTTTGTAACTGTAATACTTGCGTCCAGAACCACTGGCTGGAATGGAACTGCCACATGCTCAATCAGCATCTCTAGAGGCAGAAGATTTCTATCTAATTGCTTATCCAGAGCCATCCCCATTATTGACTGAAAATGCAAATATATTGAAGATCTAACCAAAGGAAAAAAACCGGATAGTGAATCTATCCTTCTATCTGCTGCTTTTCTCGCTCAGTCCATTCGACGTATGTAACCTCAGAATGAGATTCATTCTGACGAAAGTCTGCCACGTAAGCTGCGAACGTCATGCCATAGAATTTTCTCGCTAACTATGTTCACAGGTGCTGGTGGAGATATTCTTCAAATAATGAGATTTCCATGTTACTGTAGTTTCATTGTGTCGTTGCTTTGAACGAGAGAGCTGAGGCATGACGTCAGACCCATTAAAGTTAACACCGGCCAATTTAAAGTTAAGCTCACAATTAGTTCCCGTCAAACTTCGACCCAATTCAGGATTTGGAACACGATTCAGATGGAAAAATGTTTATCCTAATGTTCGGGAAGCTGATGGAGTCCTTTCCCGTCTCATTCATAAACGCAAAAACGGTCGACCTGATCGATTTCAAGTTTTTATAGGTTTTTGTGGGAGCCTGGGCTTCCTAGTACGGACTAACGCTCCACACATAACTATAATCCCCGGAAGATAGCAACCAATAGAACCACCCGGACGTCCAACAGTTTTTTTGATATCTATAATTTAAAAGCCTCAGGCACTTCGTGCTAACCCTGTCCTCATCAATTCTGGAAAATTATCTTAAATCGGGCATCTGTTTTAATTTGAGAAACTTGCGAGATGATAATGGTCTTAAAATGCTTGCCCTATAGTCCCAAATAGCGAATCTTGGACATTCTCCTCCCGCACGTTTTTCCCATCTTGGAACCCCAATTCTATCTGATAGGAACATTGGTCACTGATTTGACTTCGGAAGTTCTCAATATGACTTAGCGGATACTCAAGACACTGTCTTAGCCAATCTAAACGTCAAGTTTGAGATCCAGTCTGCTCGATCTACATTATTGAAATCAGTCCTGGCAACATTGAGAGTGTCGCGAATTCGGCCCGTTATAATGTTGACCACATAGAAGTATACACCTGATCACCGCAATCTTACTGGTCATAGTATCTAGTGTGCCGACGCTTCCAATGTAAGAAAAAACTATGGTGTTGAAGCACAGTGGCAAATGTTCACATCACGTCGTCTTTTAGGACATTTAGGACTTGAAGGATGACAGTTTTTCGTTCTTTTGGCTGTTTTTACGCATCGCCTTCGTTCAATTTACTGATACGATACAGGAGAATTCATGCTTGGGTCATTAACCAGTCTTGGAATAATGCCATACATATTGCAGTTAAGTCCGCTGCGGCGCAGTAGGCGTAGAATATTTGCCAGTTCGTTCATTGTGTGTAGTATGTTGTCCAATTGAAGTTAGCCGATATTCCGACTTAGCTATTTTGCATAGTTCATTCCGAACTAGACTTCGGAAGGTTTTTAAATATATACATACATTCAATATCTTTCAAATTCTGTATTTGCTTATCCCGTTTATGGCAATCTCTTCAATTATATGAAATTAGTTAAGACGAAACGAGTGAAATTCTGCCCAGGTTCAATTGTCCCATCATTTAATTTTGTCTGTAGCTTTGGCTCCAGAGAACAATAACAATAACAACAATAATAAGTCCTGGATGTGCTAGATTAGCTATAGCTCAGTCGCTTTTCTCAGTAGAAGAACGCCATGGCAACAGGCCAGTCAGTAGTGAAGACCAACACCATGTACCCTTTTTAGTACGAGAGGCCATTACACGTTAGCCAGGAGATGTGCAGATACCAGTATATAGCCGCTCTAACGCTCTGAGTGTCGGATTTCGGATCCATTCGCCGTGTACATACCTCGTTCCCGAAAGAGACGTCGTGGTGCTGGCCCACGAGGGCAAGGCACGCATCCAAACCTTACTTCAACCTCCATCGACATCTCAGTCATTCGTGTCTAGCTAACTGCAACGTCGTTTAATCTAGTTGATGGACGCCAACCTTGCCTAGGAAGCACAATGCAATCCCCTTTCATGCCATAGGATCCTCTAACTTCAACATTCCCGAGATATATACCACTATCTTAGAATTCTTGATAGATCGTGACGCAATGAACTGGACTGGGGGGCGCTTGAAACGCCACTCTTATAAAAACTACAAATCTCAAAAGGCTTCGCAGAAGCAGTATTTTGCAAGGGCAAGACTGAAAGCCCAGAAAAGACTCCACCAAGGCCCGTCTTCATCCTCCGCGAGATCACTGCTATCACAGCGCCTGCCTAAGGAGTTATCCCACTCACAGGAACACGAAGGAATCGACAATTACATCGGGAATGAGAGAAGAGTAGACAAAAACATCTCATCGGGTCGATCCAGCAATCGCAGCCCTGAAACTGAAGAGTCGCAAGACTTTGACCACCTCCGGCGAAAATTACTCAAGAGACAAGACTGGGCCAGCTTGGCTGTCGTTCGGCCACTAAGGACAAGTATGTTTCCCAGGAGCAGTCCACATGCGACAAACATAACAAGAAAGGCGACGTCGCCAACAGCAAAATATGAAGCACCGGATACCCTCCCAAGGGGAGGGCCTGGATGCAGACATCGCGATAGGACAAATGATGATTTGCCCGGGGGCTATTTAAAC